GTAACACACAAAAAAAAAAAAATATACCGACGAATTGAATACCTCCTTCTTTTGGGAAGTCGGTCAAAAAGGGGACAACGAGCGGCGGGAACACAGAGGTGGTACATTAATATACATACAGTACATTAATGGAAGGAAAAGTGCAAGTTCCAAAGCGACATGTGAAATGGACATTTCTTAGGTGTTGCTAGATCAGGTCAGATCGGTAGTAGACAACTCCGATTGTTTTTTAAAAAACAAAGCTGATTTTTACATGTGTGTTAATATAGTAGCAATGACTGTATAAACACCGTCGGACACTTGAGTAAATCTGGTACTTTCTACTTTACTTTGTTTAAAACGAATGGTCACCTGCAATATTCCTTGGTTTGGAATTAAAAAAGGTCGTCTAAAACATTCCCGCGTGCATCCACTACCTTCCCATCATTTACCCGTCAAAATCGGTCTACACGTTTATCTGTATAGATAGATTTATTTTTGTCAATAAAAAACCAAAATTCATATAAACATTTAATAATATCCATAAAAATTGCACGTTGAAAATGTTGATTTTTTTTACGCAAGTCTACTCTTGATTATATCTACAAGTTTTTTAAGTCCCGGCACATTCTTTTTCTTGTAATAATCCAACTCCTTACAGCGATTCAACCATTCAGTTATTCTGGGATATCTGAAACCAAATTTAAATATAAATCCTGAAACTAAATTATACAGTGAGTTTCCTGTAAAATGTTGATCCAATAAAATATTAATAAGGAATGTATAATTTTTAGTGGTCATAAAATATGTGTAAAACATTTATGTTGAACGAATCTCGATGAAATTTGGCACAAATGTTGAGGATAGATTGAATGATGATAGAACAGATAGGCTATTTACTTTGTTTTTTAACTCTGACCGAGTGGAGTCGCGGACGAAAGCTATATCATTATACGTATAGCCTGTTAACAATAGTATGTACCTAAGTATTATTTCCTAATATACTCGTATAATCATTTAAAGGAAGAAAACTTACGTCGTAGGGTCGATCGGTAGTAACTCTTCCATAGTGCCAATCGAGGCCATGAAGAAAATGTCGGCTAGACTGAATTCGTCGCCAGCGACCCAACGTTTTGTCAGGAATTTTTCAGAGAGATCATATGCAGATCTCATTTTTTCCAAATCTTCAGGCCTAAATGCCCCTTCATTTTTGTAAACGATTGGTTCCTGTAACAACAATAAATACTCGTATACTATTTATTATACATTTCTTGTTACTTATGCACTAGAGATCGATTAAGAACAATTCATTGATTAGGAACTTTATTTGGATTTTTGAAAAACCAAATCTTTATAATGAAAGATTTTATATTAAAACAGCTGTAAACACAATTCTATATTAACTTTGTCCAATGTAACGTTATATTGTACACGGGATTTTCTTGAAAACGGGTTACAAAGTTCTCTATTCATGAATTCATATGATTATAAAAAATCATTGATTTCACTTTGTATCTCTTTTATATCAATATGTAATCTTAATTTAGAGCGGTCGCACACCTTTGACCACACAACAGTTGTGCGATTGTCGATTGTTTCAAAAATCGAGCAGTGTGTGTACCTTCATATAAGCTCATAAGAGTCAAAGCACGACCAAACAGTTGTGCGATAGTTTAATCAAAGGTGTGCTCGCGCTCTAAGTAATTAGTGAATCTACTCACGACAGCTCCACGTAGGCTGGTAAAGAGTATACCACAGTCGAAGTATAGTCTCTGGTCAATGATCGCACGTTTCTTGGGGTCCGAAGGATAAAGTGTTGTGTTATTGCTGTATTTCGTTAGCAAATATACAGCAATTGCGTGACTGAAACAAAACATTAGATTAATATTGGTTTTTCCTCTCCATATTCTTTTCCTTTTGACTTATTTATTAAATTATTTTTTAAGGGGTTCATGAGTACTGGTGGTCGCTTATTGGTCAAATTTCGATTATAATTATAATCTTATGGGATACTTTCCCTTTCTATGTGTCTTCTCCATCAAATCCACTTTCTCTTCCCATCCTTACCTTACAAGTCAAGGTTGGCAAGGAAAAGGGACTAAAATAAGGCCTCCGGCACACACTCATGAGACGAAATAAGAGGCGTCCACTTCACGCTCGTCTTCAGTGTGGTCGTGATACTGCATCGGGCGAGCTGGCCCATTTATGCGAAGATGTTAAAGAGGGCTCTACCACTGTTAAACCACTAAACATAATTGTTATTCCTACCTGTCCCAAAGGTAAAAATCATCATCCTGCAACGTCGGTACAGTGTGTTGTGGATTCATCTGAAAATGAAGCGATTGATTTAATAATAAAAAAAAAACTATGTAAAGCTTGTGTCATCTTAGGGTATGACAAAGAGATTTAATTATATAGAGGCGTCATAGGCACAATATTTGAAACATATTTCACTTACTCATAAAGCTGTCTAAAAAAACCTAATAGATTTCTAAAACTACATATGAATATAATGAAAGGCATAATAAAAGTATTCAAATTGCTAATAGATGTCAAGAAATACTACTAAAAGATATGGGATTTGGATAATGTTATTTGGTTACAATATACGAGTACTATGTTATAAAGATCTTGATATTGACAAATCATTGCTATTTGTGGCTGGTGTATGTAAGGCACATAGATTTTATTTTATGACACTATTAAACAATAGAGGGAGCTTATTAAAATTTTGTAAAATGTTTCATTAGATGACAATAAAGGTCGACTAGATGGCGTATTGTACACACAAATTTTCGTTATCGTGTTAGCATATTACAAATCCTACTTAGACCGAAAGCACAGATTTTACTAAACTATCGCACAACGGTTGCGCGATTGTCAACTGTTTTGCAGCCAATTGAACTGTTTAGTTGCACAACTAAAAGTCGATTAGTGTGCTCACCTCTATATAAGATCATAGAAATCAAATCAGATAGTTTAGTGAACGGTTTGCGCGAGCTCTGAGTATATATTTAGTGTAAAATGTATTTAGTTAATAAAAAAAATATTTGTAATCTATATTAGCTTTACCATCTTAAGTTCACTTATCTGTGGTCATCCCAAGAGAGATTAAATTAAAACAGACATATGAGTTTTATTCAAATATTAACCTCACCTTTACGAACTCGTCATTAAGATGTTCTCCTTCTGCTAAATTGACTTCGATAAATTCTATGTTAGGAATTTTGGCAGCCTCTATGGTCATCATGAGAGCCCGCGCCGGCGTACTCGCGTCCATCTTATACAGTTTTAAGACCATGATTCTGGAAAAAAAACATAAAATACTTTTAAATACACACTTTAGAGCGTCAGCACACCTTAAAATAACTAAAGCAGAACTGTTTACCCTCCCCTTGATTCGCATACATTGAGGTGCGAACACAATTCGATTTTTAGTTGTGCAAGTAAACAGTTGTATTGGCTGCGAAACAATCAATTCAAAAGTGAACCCGCTCTTAGTTTGTGACAAGTGTTTAAGCACTTGACTTGAATCTATGGGTTTTGAGTGAAATGTACCAACTTTTTCGATATCCAAATTTCATATGTACATAATTTATACGAGCTTTTTATTGTGAAGGAAAATATGCAACCTGCGCAAATCGACGACATTTATAAATATGTGTGGAGTCTACGGGTAGACCACTACGGGTAGTGGGCCGGCGTAATTGACTGTGGCCTAGTCATCCCTAACTTTATGTAGGGTCCGAGTCCCTTAGTGGGGCTTAGTGGGGCATACAGCTGGTGATGCAATGGCGCTAGGGAGTTATCAAAAGTTTGACTAACGACTCAGACATATGACTTATAACTTCTGTGACAGAGAACGTTGTCTGCATAAAAGCAGATATTGTATTCAACGAATATCGTTATCATTGGTAGAGGTTAACCCCATTAAGATACGGAAACACTTAAATTATGTATGATTACGATAAAAAAAAAACATAAAAACGATATCGTATGATTTTGTTGTTACTATGTTATTCTTACGATTATTTCATATATGGTACTTAGTTATGATATACAGGTAGTGACTTGGCATATAATTTAAACGAAAGATTTTCCTTAATTCATTTTAGGAGAAGGGTCAACCAAGCAACACATACAATATTAATTGAACATCCGCAAGACTACGAGTAGAAGATCGCCAAATGTTGTCGTTCTTTAAATAGATAAGTGGATATACCGCTAAGGATTGGACAGAGCGGTATTAAATAGTAAATTATTAAAAAATCTCGTTGTTAGTAAATGTTAAGTTTTGTTGTAAGTAAAAAAACATTAATATAGAATATAGGAACAAATGAAAACATGTTTTTATTTGGTTTGTTAAATCAAATGTACAAATGTATTTTTGATGTAATAACTAAACTTACTAATACATTGAACCTTTTTATCTATACATATTAAAATTAAAAAATGCATTATAATTTATTATCGTTCGATTTCTACAAAGATAATTGTAATAAATCAAAATGCATATTATTATGATAACGTACCTTTTTTTAAATTGTTCAATTGAAAAGACGCTGTCGTTCGTGTGATGCCACTGACGATGTGAGACTACTCGTATTTATCAACTACTACTCTGTAAAACCGGTCTCGCGACCTTTTTATTGGTATACGTCGTCTAGCTGCGGCCAAAATATTTCAATGTGCTAGTACATGGTTTTTTAATATTAACAGTACAAAAACAAAGCTAAGAATAGATTGCAGGATGTTGATTTCCTCCTATTTTAAGAATTATGCCTTCGAATCATGTAACAAAGGCCTTAGTTACGGACTCAGCCTCTTCCTTTCACTTTAGGGGATATTGGTGTGAACATCAGCTATACGGATGATTGGCGTTATTGAGCCAAACTACCCGGTCTATTAGTCAGATCCTAAAAAGGTACGAAAATCGCATGATATACAATGTAAAGAAGAACAAGTTCATGGTCTTCAAGCCGCCGGCAGGTGTTCTGATTTCATCCCTTTATCACCCTGAATCTTATGAGACTAAGCCAGATGTAGTCATTTAAATGTCTTAGACTTATTCATACTGAGGACCTTGTAGAAGACGCCGATGTTGAGAGAGAACCACGGACGCAGGCGGCTAGAATAGATATGATGGCTCTCAGATTCTCTTACAAATTTGCTGGTTGGTGATATTTTGAATATTAAAAAGGTATTTAATTGTTTTGAATCGAACTTAATTAACGAAAACCTTTGTTTCATCAAAATGCAGGGAATTTTCTAGATAACTCCAGTGCACACTGCGAAACAATTGCTAAAAGCTTTTTGGAAATCTTCACAAATTGCATAATTGCATCTGACGTGATTTCTTTGACTAGACTGACCTATTTCTAACATAATTTTAAGTCCTAAAAGCATCGATGCATTGCGTTTATGTTTATAGATAGATAGATATATTCATACTAACGTATAAATTGATTTCTTGAAATGAAATGTTTGAAATGACGAATCATACGATGATGTAAAACGAAACAACAACCCTACATTATAAACAAGGACAGGATAATGATCAGCATCATCATCACCGGCTCAGGTGTCCACTTAAAGACACCGTGCCTACCCTAAGGTACCCTGACTAGGCCATAGTCAACCACGCTGGACCACAGCGGGTCGATTGACTTCACACATATCTTTGATTATATAACTTGCTTTATCAGTACATATACTAAACCTAACGATACAAAATAATGATGAAGCATTATTAAAAAACTGCTTAAAACTAGTTATGAGTATTTACAATACATATATGAACAAACATACCTTTTTAATTATTTTTACCAAATACTTGTAACTGGGTGTATTGATACTGTTCGTATGATTTCATCCACCAAGAGCTACTTATATACAAGTCATTTTTATCAATAAATATATATACGTTATCTGAATGTATAGTTGAATCCAGATTTTTAGTTAAATTTCGTGATTAGAATCACGTAAAAGATTTCATTATTCTCAAACGAAAAAAGTCATGTCATCTACCATATACATATAATAAAATTGGAGTGTCTGTTTGTAATATCAAAAGATGTATTTGCGTTGCTGATGACGAAAATTGCATTTAATTTTGTGTTTGTCTGTCTGTCTGTCCGCAAGCCGCGTTTGTGCCGGGTAATTTACGAAACGGTTGGGCCGATTTCGACGGGACTTTCTCTGGAGGGTAGCTGACATGTATAGGTTTATTATAGGCTACTTTTTTTGTAATTCCGCGCTGTCAAAATGGCATAAATTTCCGCTAACGAAGTTTGCGGGTGACAGTTCGTAAGATTTTAACAGTGGTAGAGCCCGCTTTAACATCTTCACACGAATGGGCCGGCTCGCCCGGTGCAATACCAAGACCACAGAGAAAACAGGCGTGAAGTGGAAGCAATTCCGCATTTCGTCTAATGAGTGTGGTGCCGGAAGCCTAATTTTAGTCCCTTTCACTTTCCACCCTTTTCTTAAGAGGAAAGGATGGGAAGGAAAAGTGGATTTGATGGTGGAGGAGACGCATAGGAAGGGAAAATGTCCTCTTTATGTGCGTCTCCTTCTCCGTCTATGAAGGGTAGGCAACGCATCTGCAATTGTGGATGTTTATGGGCAGCGGTCGCTCTCCATTTTGGTGGATTCAGGTGGCCGTTTGCTCGTTTGCCACCATATATTATAAAAAAAAATATAACATATCTCTCAAACAGGATGTAATATACGTAGCATGTTAAGTAGGCAATATTTGATAATAGTTACTTTAAATAGGACCACTACCGGTAGTGGCAGACAAAGAAAGGGATTGCGTAAAAGATGACATAATCAAAAAGGGTGTGTGATGGATGGTAGAGTTATTTGTCAATAATAAAAACAACATTCATAAATCCATTTAATAGCATTGATATAGATTGCAAAATAAAAAAATCAAAGAACATCGTTTTTTTTTTAACCAAGTTTACTCTTAACTAAATTTCCAAGTTGTATTGATCCTGGTTCATTCATTTTCTTGTAATAATCTAACTCTTTGCAGCGATTCAACCATTCAGTGAGTTTAGGATATCTGAAACCAATTTAAAATATTAATCCTAAAACTAAAGTTATATAGATAAATAGACTATGTTTTATTTTTTATTTCGCTGAAGAACAAAGTTAATGTTCATGTTACAAAGCACCAATAGCCTAATGGTTTGGTGTACGGACTACCGATCTTGCGGTCGAGGGTTCGAATCCCGCCATTCGACTATTGTCATGAACCATATGCTAGCACAAACTTAGAGCTAAGTTGGGAAGGTTAAATGATATATCAGTAAATAAAAATACTACTAATGGTTTCCAAAAAAGAAAAACTTACGCCGCCGCGTCGATCGGTAGTATTTCATTCAAAGAGCTAATCGAGGCCATGAAGAAAATGTCAGCTAAAGTTAATTCGTCGCCAGCGAACCAACGTTTTGTTAGGAATTTCTCAGAGAAATCGTATCCGGATTTAATTTTTTCCAATGCTTCAGGCTTAATAGCTTTTGCACCTCTGTAAACGACTGGTTCCTGTAAATATAACAATAAGCCCATCCTTGAATTGAAATTCTACGTGAAAATATTGTCCGACAAAGATCTTGAAAATTCTTCCATCGTACTAATGTTATAAATACCAAAGTTTAGAATGGATGGATGTCTGTAAGCAGGTAACTGCTGAACGGCCAAATGGATCTCGATGAAATTAAGCACAAATGTAGATCATAGTCTGAAAGAACACATATTAAGCATTTTTTATATAGCGCGAACAAAGTCCCGGCGAAAAGCTAGTGAATGTGCTAACGATACGAAAGCAAACTGTATGAAAGGCAATTGCAACTAATGAAGCGAATATGTAAGAAAAAAGAGTTTCAGTTTAATATTGTTTAGTTTGTAACTTAACTGGCTTTCGCCTGCATCTCCGTTCGCGTGAAATTAAAAAAAACCGTGTAACCCATGTGTTCTTCCAGACTATCCTCTACATTTGTACCAAATTTATCGAAATCCATTCAGCCGTTTAGGCAACAAACTCTAACAAAGATCCATCCATCTACACTTTCACATTTATAATATTAGTATGAATTGTATGATTTACTGACGATAGCACCGCGTAAGCTCGGGAAGAGTATTCCACTATCAAAGTGCAGTCTCTGGTCTATAATCGCTCGCTGCTTGGGGTCCGATGGGTAAAGTGTTGTGTTTTTGCTGTATTTTGTTAGCAAATATACAGCAATTGCGTGACTGAAACAAAATTTTAGTTTAATGTTAATAATTTTCCTTCATCACTTGCTTTTTACTTTCCAAAACACTGATGAGGCTAAACTCTTGTTATTTAATTTTACTTTCTTTAAAAAATTTTAGTAACAAACGTCTTACCTGTCCCAAACATAAAAATCATCATCTTGCAAAGTCGGCACTGTGTGTTGAGGATTCATCTGAAATTGAACCAATTGTTTTAATAAATAATTATGTACGAAATAATGAGTAGCCTTTCGTCCGCGACTCCTTCCACGTGGAATAAAAAAACAAAAGTGAATAGCCTACGTAATCTTCCATAATATTACTAAACTCTCCAACTCTCCTTTAACTCCAACTTCACGCAGAAACAGAAGACACAGAAAGCAGCGCTTACAACTCATAAATTATACCTCACCTTTAAGAAATTATCTTTGAGATGTTCTTTTTCAAGGAAATTAACATCCACATATTCAACGTTAGGAATGTTGGCAGCTTCAATGACCATCGTAACTGCACGCGCCGGCGGACTTGCGTCCAACTTATACAGTGTTAAGACCATTATTTAAACTGAAAAGTTAAAATTAACGTAAAAATTGTGATAGATTTTTGAACACATAAAAATTCATCCTTTGCTATATGCCCACTAAATCGTGTGCTGATTCAATAAGAATTTTTACAATTATAATACACGTGCAGTTGCTTGCGACTTCGTCTGCATGAATTAAAAATAATAAAAAAGTATAACCTATGTTACTCACATAATGTATACCTTTCTAATGGTGAAAGAATTTTAAAAATCGGCCCAGTAGTTTTTGAATTATTTCAATAAATACAAAGATTTCTATTTATCTTTTTAACATTAGTTACTAGCTGCGGAGTTATGGCGTAACATACATAAAAACAAATTAACAGACGAATTGAGTGCTCTTTGACCGACTTCCCAAAAAAGGGAGGTACTCAGTTCGTCTGTGTGTTTTTTTTTGTGTCTATCGGCATATCTCCACCCCTAGTGGCCCGATTTTGATAATTCTTTGTAGTGCTGGCAGGTGGGTCCCATTTTTTTGTTTATATTCTGGAGTCAACGACTTTGGTTACGTCGCCTAAACTATGAGACTTTGCTAAATTATTATCTTACTTTTAAGTATTATGTTTTTGAGAATATTTTGTTTGGAAGTCGGTTTTTCAAATCAAAATATAAGCATAGTAACGATAAGATTTATAAATAACTTGTTACTATATAATCTTGATACGGATGTATTTACATTTATGTAAAGTGCGATAATTCGTACCTCAATATATTTACTGATTAAATCCGAAATGTTATGCGCAAATAGGAACCTTATCACAAAATTTTCGATAAAAGAATAACAAGATACGGCGTTGTTTTTAGATACACAGTGACTTCGCACATTTTATACTTATATATTACATCATAAATAGTTATATATTGTCTGTAAAATAACTCGGTATATTCATATACTCGTACATATTACTACATAATGTTTGAACAGAGAATCAGCATCTAATTATTGAAAAACTGTTAAAGAAAAATGCATTAAAATCATTATTTTTAACAAAAATATTGTTTTTTGATATTCATTGAAATAACAAACCTAGGGGGCATGAAAAATAATTATTGAATATTAAATATGTTTATGTAACGGCTAATATTACTAACAGATTGGAATTTTCTGCAAAAAATCTAATTTGTTAATTGTACTATGATTTATTATTATTTAATTAAACGTTAATTATTAAAACGAGGTGAAAATGTAACAAAAATAATGTTCATAACCTAAAAAATGCATTTAAAATTTAAAAATTTACCTTTTTAAAAATGTTCACTTGTACTATACACAATCGGTTGCGCGTGATGCCGCTATGTATGTGTTATTATTAAACGTGTATCAGCTCGGAACCGGTACAAAAGATCGGTTTATATAACCTTGAAACATTGATCTATCGCTCAGCAACTAATATCGTAGCTTACGGCTCAATGCGATAACCACTGACTCCTACACTGACTTTGCGAGCTGACGTGAAGTGAACTGTTGATTGATTCACAACTCAAACGAATCATACCTCTAACCACGTATATATTGATTTGATCTGCGATCCGGTTCACTAATCTGCTTCACGTGAACCGTGAGCTGATCTATTTTAGTTATAGTTGAGTCACCCATTACTAGTCACTATCTGTTGAATGCTAATTTATAAAACCAGTTTCACGACATTTTATTATTGAAGATTTATACATTGTCTAGATGCGACAAAAACATTATATGTGCATAGTACAACCTGGTTTGATTTAAATAAATTAGCTACAATATAACAAAAAATCTCTAAATCTATACTAATATAATAAAGCGTAAATACACACTGGTCTGTTGCCTAAGATGTCAGCAATCATAGCCTATTTTCGAAAATTTTTTTTAATAAAATGCCCTCTACACTTACGTCACGCTTTAGGCTACAAATTTTCACGACATTAAACTTAGGGGGTAAATATTTTGGATAAAATCCCTAATGAGGGAAAGAGACCATAAGTTGCTCCAACATCAAGGAAGCAAGGTTTGTCATGTCATGTCATTTTGACATTTGCAATTGATAATTTGACAAATGTGAAAAATAGAATGATTTTTTTATAATTTCATGCGGATGAAGTCGCATGGGAACAGCTAGTCTTCAAAAGTGTTAAATCAGTTTTTCTATTAAACATTTTAAGCAAATAAATGAAAACAATTTACGTAAACTTATGACAGCGAAACGTAACGATACAAAAATACCCCATTATCGTAACCTTTGATCAATCAACGCTCTTTTTATGTTCGATTGAAAGAATATCGGCATCAGAGTACTTTGTCAATAAGTACACAGAAATTGCGTGCCTGAAAGAATGTGGAAGAATACACACAAATGAAGTAACTCTGAAAGAACACTTTTACATACAATTTATATCAATAAATCAATCGGAATTTGTCTTTTTGAAGACCGATGCAATGAGAACAAATACAATATTTTTTTAAAATACCATAGTCCTTACAGAACTGACTCAGATACTTTAAACATCATTTTTAACACTGGTACAGCTTGTTGGACTTCTTTCGTTTTCCTAACCGGTTAGGTAAAAAAATTATTTTTCACTGTTTAGTTGTTAGTTGTTAAAGAGGAATATTTTTTTCTTCTTTCGTATGTACGGTGAGTACACATTTTTATTTTCCGGGCTATATATCACTATTATTATTAAGTAAAGTAATATTTTTTAAACGGGTGTGGATTCATCTGCATTAATTCAAAGAGACCCAACTTTTCACTTTTCGACGGTACCTCTATATTGGTTTAGGATCTATAGTCATTTCATGAGAGAAAATCTATATAAGTTGTTTTTTTTTTTAATTTGAAATTTGTGTTCGTCTTTGACCTAGTGATGACCATAAACTAGTGAGAGAGCTGGTGATTTTATTCTACCTTTGTCCGGGACTTCGTCCACACGAAATAAAAAAAAAACAAAACATGGCTATGTGTCCAGACTATGTTCTACATCTGTGCCAAATTTAATCGAAATTCGTTAAATCGTTTCGGTGATGCATACAAACATCCGTCCGTCTAAAGTTGGACATTTTATATTTTTGTAAGATTTAATATGAGTTATGACCTAAATATCGTTATGAAATTTTGATAGTTATGATTGAATATTCCGTTTATCATACTTTAGTTCTTGATAAAACTTTAGTTAAAGTCATGCAATTTAATCAGCAATAAATTTACCATATCGCTAATAATCAATAAATAATATCTTATTATGAATAAAATGAAATAATCCAATTAGTTTGTGAAAACAGTAATGATTGAACGAAGAATCGTAACAAACTGTTTTTTTCATGAATAATTTTTTGACAAAATTCAAGCGGTATTTATGTTAACAAGTAATTTCAAAAGATTTTTACGATTGCGCCCTTAAAATTAGTGATGAAGATAATTATCAACTAATCACGATTTTCGAACTACACCGAAGTTAAAAAACTATTTTAGATACACCTAGCAAATTATTGACGAATCTCATTATTTGAATTGTTATGAAAAAAATCGGTCAGTCGGTTTTCATTGATATAATATGAATATAAATATAAATGTAATATAAATCAGCAAATATAAATTTAAATATAATCCCCCACATTTATTATTAAATCCCTTTGTTCTTTGTCAACAACTACCAAAATGAAATCCAGTTTGCGTTGGTTTTCCAAATGCAATAAATTTAACTTTAAATCTGATAAAATTGTTCATTGGTACACAATGAAACTGGCATGTAAAATACCGCTAAAATCGCGCATCGCCAGAAGTTATAAAGGTTTGTTTTCAACGAAGATATTTATATTATTTACGGCGTATTTAGAACATAAGTAATATGACGCAAATGGGATCATGATTTCTCTAAATTACTATACTATTTTGTATCTATACAAGTAGAATACATTAAACAACATTTTAAAAAAGCTGTTGCTCTCGACTTCGTCCGCTTAAAATTAAAAAAATAATACACAATGTAGACTATGTTACTCACAGATAAATGGCCTTTCTAATGGTGAATTAATTTTAAAACCCAGTAGTTTTTGCGTGAATCAATTACATAAAAATACAAATCTTTTCCCTTTATAACGCTAATATCGATTAGTATTTAGTAGGAACTTTAACACCTTAGGGAAGAATAAGAATTGAAAGGTATTGATCACACCCGAGATTTTGAAATCGATAAACCCAGTAGTTCACAACAGAATACACATTTTTTTTTTAACTTACTACACGTTTTTATTGTACAGCGCCATCTTTTATCTGTTATGTATACCACTATAATATTTTTACCAGAGCGCCATCTGATCTTTTACACTAAAACTACGAACAAAGTTTCCATGAAGATCTCGTGTAGATTTCTGGTCCAAATTTTAGATGACGTGTTAAATACACGATGTGTATTTACATTTGTTTTAATTTGATCTGCCGTGATTAAACGAATTTAAAATAAGTAATAAGAGAAAACAGACACAGAGAGAGAGCGAGAGAGAGAGAGAGATAAAGAGAGACGAATGTGGATAGTTCTATAGAACCTACCTATAGGTAGAAGAATAAAGAATTAAGAAATGATGAATTTTGTCCAAAAGTGTATATAAAACTTTTGACCGGCCGATAATTTAGTCGGCATAGTCTGCGCAGTCATGAACATGTATGAAGGTACTTTGCACCTATTTTGTTTTATATGATTTTATAAACAGCCCGAACCGCAAAATCACAATATATATTTTTTTTAAGTAAAAGTCAAAATAAAGAAAAATAATTCCTTGCTATCAAGATGTCTACGAAACCCGCAATTTAGTACACACAATTACAGTATCTAAATAAAGCGAAACGCCTCATATTATGTGACAGCCGTGTTATTACACAATACAATTCATACTGTCCGCCCATGTCACACCTATGTTTATGTGTCGCTTAAGGAAAATATATTTGATTACTTTTCTGTCACAAACATTCGGATTTTTTTATGTATATAAAAATTTATCATAACTTCGTTTTATACAAAATGAATTAAATACTTTTTACATTAGAAATCGATTTTTTTATTCAAGAATCGATCATATGAATCGAGATATCGATTATTTTACAAGGCGATAAATTGAGGTTATGAAGATTTGAACTGATAAAATGATGCAACCATTTTGGTTCACGTCAATTTTAGCAATTAGAAAATAGTTATTATTATTGGAGGATGTTTTCTTAACAACTAAGACATTATTAAAATAAATAGATAGTGAAAACCGGATTATTACATTAGTTAAAATCTATGAAACCAAAAAAGAATTGTTTTTTCTTCATTTTTAAGCTAAACTTCATTTAATACGGACGGATAAACTTATTCATTACTAAAAATGGGTAACAAGATTTTAAAAAATCTACAAGATCCCGACCACCCTTCTTTAGGCCCTACGCTTTATGGTTTACAACTTTGGGGCATGTGGCAACCGAAACGAGGAATTAGTTCTTTCATCTGTAACCTTGTTCATATCTGTGCTATTATCTTTGTATTGAGCCAATATATAGAACTGTGGATTATTAGATCAGATTTGGAATCAGCGTTGAGAAATTTATCAGTGACCATGCTTAGTTCAGTTTGCGTCGTAAAAGCCGGCACATTCGTACTTTGGCAAAAGCATTGGAGGTCTGTCTTTGATTACGTTTCAAATTTAGAAAAGAATGAACTGAGTAAAAATGATACAGTCTCTTGTAAAACGATAAGAGAGTATATTGCATATTCCAGAAAGGTTACATTTATATATTGGTGTTTAGTAACAGCGACTGTTTTTAGTGTTATTTTAGCTCCGTTGGCTAGTTTTATATCTTTACCTATTGATGAACAAATGCCCAATAATAGCTCTAAAGCTTATCCAGAGATAATGAGTTCGTGGGTACCATTTGATAAAACTCACGGAGTCGGATATTTGGCAATGATTTTGGAACAAACAGTCATTTGTTTTTATGGAGGTGGTATAGTTGCTAATTACGATTCAAATGCTGTAGTAATTATGTCTTTCTTCTCTGGCCAACTTAAATTATTAAAGTTAAATTGCGAAAGAACATTTGAAGATAATGGCGTGGATTCTGGTGAATTTACTAATAGAATTGCCCAATGTCATGAACACCATTCAAACCTTATAAAGTAAGTAATACAAATATTAACAAAATTAATTAAACAACTAAATTGCTCGTACGAAAATAAAGATTAATATTAGTTGATAAAATATCTGGTTATAACCAGAAATGTTATAAGCAGATTTTTTATTAACAACAATATTTTGTTTTATTAATAACAAATGATATCTGGTTATAACCGGTTGTAGTTTGTTATTAATAAAAATGTTTTTATAGAAACCTGGTTACCTAGTCCTGAATATGAGAAAAGCAATAAGTTATTTTTCAAATATTGTAATTCTGATGACGTCAATAAACTTATGTTTTTTTAACCTAATTGGTCATCAAATTACCGAACATAATAATAAATATTTTTGCCAAGCTGACTCTCTCATAAAATTAAAATACCTAAAAAGTGTGGTTTTTCTTTATTTTTAGGTATTCTAAAATATTCAATTCTTTACTGTCACCTGTTATGTTTTTGTATGTGATCATCTGTTCACTTATGATTTGCGCCAGTGCTATTCAACTAACAATGGTAAGTAGTTATTAATAATGTGATGGGCATAATTTGATGTCTATACATCCGCTAATGCAGATGAGTTGCTTACTCTAAATTGACGAAGGAAAAGACACACATAAACAGGATATTTCCCTTTCCTATACGTCTTCTCCATCATCGAATCCATCCCATCCTTTCCTTATAAGAAAACGGGAAGGAAATGGGATTAAAATTAGGACTCCGGCACGAACTTATCAAACGGCGCAATTACATCCACTTCAAGCCTGTGTTCTGTGTGGTTGTGGTATTGCATCAAGCAAGCCGGCCCTTTCTTGTTAAGATGTTAAAGTGAGCTCTACCATAATTAAATAACAATAGCAAGAAGTTAAAGCTATATAATGGGGAAATTGGTTTTATTTTGTCCGAATCTATTGATTCTATAAACAGGATTGTAATCGGTTTATTTCTATTTTTATTTGTACTAACTTACATTTCTTTTTAGAGTGGAATTTCAAGAATGCAGCAGATACGTATAGCAGAGTATTTATTGGCTTTAATTGCTCAACTGTTCCTCTATTGCTGGCATAGTAATGAAGTATCCTTGATGGTATGTTTGTTGTTTTTAATAATAAAGTATCCAATATCTTCGAACTCTCATAATCGTGTTCTCTCTGTTCTTAACGCATCTACGCGATGACACGAGAAGTTTTTGTCCTACAAAACTAGCATTTGTTACTATAGTCATCTCTTAATCATGGATTTAATGCAATCCATTTATTTTTTTTAAGTCTACCCGTCGTCATTGGCAGATGATGACAATTGTGATGTTTTTGATGATGATTCCCTTTTTACTCTTTGTCGTTGTGAAGCCGATCACGAATATTTGATGTTCAGAAAATAGTATTTTAAAAATGTTACCCTTATATTGTTAAAAATGTTCTAGTGTTATTTTCAATAAATTTTGTAGAGTCTAAGTGTGGATGGAGGTGTATACGCAAGCTCTTGGTGGTCTCAAAATACGAGCGTTAAACGAAACGTTCTGCTTCTCATCGGCAAAGTTCGGAGAAATATAATATTCACAGCCGGACCTTTTACTTCTCTGTCAATTCATACTTTTGTTGCTGTAAGTTTTTTGTCCCATAAGTTTTTATTAAATGCGGGCGCACTTTGACTAACTATCGCACCACTGTTGTGCGATTGTCGATTGTTTTGCAGCTGATACAACTGTTTAGTTGCGGAACTGAAAATTGAGTAGTGTGCACCATATAAGCTCTTAGAAATCAACGAGAGACTAAACAGTTGTGCGATAGTTTAGTCAAAGGTGTGCGCGCGCTTTAGATATTTTTACCAGAGTACTTAATATTTTTTCTTTGACGTTGATTGTGATTTTTTTTCATCTACATATTTACGAAATTGTTACTTGTAAACGGTAAAAAAACGAAGAACGTTATCCAAGGAGAACGTTAGATATGAGTGTGGAAGGGTACATCGGTAGAGGTAGACCTAGAAAGAGATGGATGAATTGTGTAAAAGGTGACATGATCAAAAAGGTAGTGATGACTGAGATGACGTATGATAGAGTTATGTGGAGGACAAAAACCTGTTGCGCCGACCCTACGGGAGTAGGATAAGATGATGATGATGGTAAAGCAAACATTCTTTTGTTTCAGGTTTTAAAAGGATCTTACAGCTATTACACTCTATTAAGTAACAGAGAAAAATAATAGAAATACCTGCAAATCACCAATTAAGGCAAACCTGTTACGAGCTAAGCACGATCTTTCAAAATTAGATTTTATTATAAGACATTTTTTTATTAGTGGTCACTTTAATTCTTACACTTATTTTTTTAAACACGCACAAAACATAAAAACACAAAACAACGTTGTCTCTTTCTTCAAAGTGAACAAAAGAATCAACATGTTTTTTCTACAATTGTTTCGGAAGTGGAAACGCGGTGTCTGGCATAACTTCTTGTTACCGCTGTCACAAATTCATAACTTTTGTCAACTTATTAACTTAAAAATATGACGACAATTTGTTAAAAATGATTTTTATTACAAAAAAGAAATTAGCTGTCATAAATATAAATTACAGAAGTATACAGTACAGATGTTTAAAATTATTTCTGTTCGTAAAGTTATTCTTAGGATTTTACTACCAGCTATAAATTAAGTGTACTTTATGCCTCCCTTTAAATGTAAGAGGTATGGAACCAGCTAAGTAAATGCTTGTTGTAAATGACGAGTAATATATATATATTTTTTTTTTCAGTTTGTGTTTAGTGCGTCGGTGGCTCAGTGGTTTAAGCACTTGACTTGTAATCTACAGGTCTTTGTATCGAATCCCGCCATGTACCAATATGATTTTCAATTTTTCGAATTTTCATATTTACATAATTTACCCGACGTTCTTACAGTGAAGGAAAACATCATGCACCCTGCACATTTAGGCGAAGAAATTCAAAGAAATATGTGAAGTCAACCAACCCGCACTTGGCCAGCGTAGTTGACTAGTCACCCCTTATTAGGGTAGGCTCCGAGCCCCTCGGTGGGGATATATAGTTTGCTGGTGATGATACAGTTTGTCTGATAGCAGGCGTATCTTGGACTAAACTATCGAACAAATGTGCGATTGCCGATTGTTTCGCAGCCAACTATTTAACTGCTCAACTAAAAATCGAATAGTCTGCACTCATATAAGCTCTTGGAATCAAAGCGCGACTAAACAGTTGTGCGATAGTTTAGTCAGAGGTGTGCGCGCTTTAACATTGTTCTTTAAATCAATAACAAGAAACGATAAACTGTATTTAAAAGAAATTGGTACAGTTTTTGTTTATGTAGAGTATGTAGAGAATAATTTTATAACTAATTTGTCATCACTATTGTATTATTTAATAAAAGCATTTATGATATACCAGTTCATTTTTTTTTTGTATTCAAAGAAAAGTGTATTTTGTTGACATAAGTGCTTTTGGTTACATTCGATCCCATCTCTAACACAAGCTTTCTAACATCTTCGTTCGGAAATACACATTTACATGTTCCAGATGTATACTAGTAAATCATTTTAACAATGGTAGAGCCAGGAATTACTGCTTTTGCACGAATAGGGCGGCTCACCCGATGGAAAACCACGGCCAGTGGGAAGACAGGCGTGAAGTGGGAGAAAATTCCCTTTTCATCTAGTGTGTGTGCGTTGCGAAGGCCTAATCAAAGTCCCTTTCCTACTCCACCATTTTCTAAAAAAAAAATAATGGGAAAGGAAAATGAGATTGACGGTGGAGGAGACGCATAGGAAGGGGAAATATCCTCTTTATGTGCGTCTTCTCGTTTTTCGATTACAGGTAGACAACATATATGCAAATAGATGTCTTTGGGCAGCGGTTGATTTTTGCATGAAATAGTTTTTTGTCAGAATCAAACTACACTGAATTATACTCGTTAGCTAAATATAATAAATAACACAGTATAATATGATTCAAGTATATTTAACAACGTTAATAATACGTTTTTACTGCACTTAACAGAAATAAAAATAAAACAAAACGAAAAAAATGTGTTCTTACTCTATGTGTTCTTACAATCTATGTTCTACATTTTTGGCAAATTAAGTCAAAATTGATTATTTTAAAATTACTGTCGTTTTTCTTGGATTTGTGTGAACAGCGTGTAAAAACTGTATGTCCCCTTCATGATCTGTAAACAATTATAAAATGAGTAAATACGTTTATATTACATGTATAGTATAGCTTTGCCGTTTGCGTAAAATTAAAAAAAAAAACATGAATAATTAGCCTATGTGTTATTCCAGACTATCCTCTACAGCTACCAAATTTCATTGAGAACCGATCAGAAGTTTAGGCTACAAACTCAAACAAATATCCATCCATCAATCTTAACATTCGCATTTATAATATTAAGTAAGAAGTAAGATTTATATGTTTCAAGTTTTTTTCCGGAAGAGTTTTTTTTTTTCAATTGAAAATGTTACTTGAAATAGTTCTAAAAAATCATTTCTTAACCATGTCGTCCATTCAACAGATTCTCAACAAATCTTTAAATTAGTTTACAATACACCAATTGACATAAAATGAGTCACTAACATCGATGAATGTCGGAATTGAGAGCTCAGTGAACGGCCCGGCGGTCATTATATGCGACGGAGCCAATTTCCCTGCTAACAAAAGTAGTTGCTTCCGCTCGCTCGTGTCAGCCTTCCACCAGTTGCTTTCGTATACACCACGGTCTGCTCGATCACTCTATAAGAAATACATAACCTCGAGAATAATAGTTAAAATAACTTCATTTCTTTTAGAGACTCATGTGAGCAAACAGCCAGTGAATCCTCTTTACTATAGGAAAGTAGATCTGTAACTCTTACCACTGGCTGTTTGTTGGATTCTTTGGGTTGCTACAGACGCTGGTACACTATTTAAAAATTAGGTTAATATTAAAAAATTAAAATTACACCTTTATTGGATTAAGCATTTTTTAATAACGAATACACACTGCACTCCACACACACTGCAGTGCGTCAGAGATGTTTGTGCATACGCAGATTGACTGCTATAATGCCATTCTGTGCAAACGGAAGGCTTCTCTTTTACGCAGAGTCCGGGAGAGCACCAACAGTATCCTAAGAGGGCTAAGTGATAAGTCCGACTGCCCTATCACGAGACATTGGCTGCGCGCACATGTACCTAACGTAACATGACCTAACGTACCTTGCGTTAGGTCATGTTTTAATTAGAAGTAGTCTTTAGAATACATATTTTTTTTCTTTTTGTTAGTTGTATATATTTTAATTATGTGTAATCAATCTTACATGATTTAAATAAAATAATAAAAAAAAATAAGGATTACAATAAGTTGAGTGTTCAATAAGAGATGATTTTGATCTGATTGATACGATCCCAAATAACCAATCAATTACTATAACATGAGGCAAATGTTTGAAAAACTTCAAGGATTTGCGGATATAAACTTTCTCGTATGAAAGAGAGTAAAACTTTTCATTTATATGTGATAAGCAATAGGAGTTTTTGGTTTATTTTTTAAAATATGAAATTTACCTCCACTTTAATTTCATTACTGTGCCAACAAAATAAAAATAGCTGTATCGAGAGTGCCAAAGTAAATTCTAACACCCATAGTTTTTGTGACGTTGCAACGTTGTCCTGGAAAATACAAAACAAATTTAGAAATTGGGGAATATCGACTACTGACAGATGAATACATAAGATTAGATCAACATGGAATAAGGAGATAAAACAAGTAATCATGAAATATCAAACATCTTACCAAATTCAACTGCACCACGCTGCAGCAAATGTTTATAGAACACACAAGAACGTACAAGTACATGACCGGCGATATCATCGAATTGAACATAGAATATATCCTGTACAAAGAATACAATAAAATACACATTGTATAAGACAATATCTATTTCTGTGAAGTTTTCAATCCAATTTTCTTAAATTTAGCTTGATTTTAAAATCATCACCAGCTCACTACACGTCATCACTAAGGAACTCGGAGCGTACCCTTAGAGTGACTATTGACTTATGTTTGACTAGTTCTGATAGATACTTACAATTTGTGCTGCAATCTTGCTTACAAGTAGATTAAGAACTTACCCTTGCAGAAAATTGTGATGCCTATGACACTCTTTAATTCTCATGAAAATTTCACTTTTCGTTAAAATGTCGTCTTTGTCTCCAAAAATTCGACGAGATTTTTCTTTCAAAATTATGAATTGTCCTTTTAGAAATGTCATTATTGCAACTGCGTTCGCATCGTAGACCGCAACAACTCCAGCTCCTTGGGTTGTCATGATCACATGAATTAGTGTTGAAAAAAAGTATCCCGGCATCTTATTATTATCGAAAGGAAACCATGAACTCAAAATCTGCGGATATGGTTCAGTGTCGTTTGTTATTTTCTCGCTATACGAAGTTGAAGCATATTTAACATATGGTGCTATGATCGTCACAACATTCGTAATCAATACAACTAGCCAATACAAATATGTGATAAATCTTGTGTAATCTATGTAATTCTTCATCAGTTTTATTTCAAATGTATTATTTAAAACGAGTAAACTTTGTTCTTCTTTGCGTATATCATCGATTACGTTTTGTAGACGCGATTGCCAAATCAGACACGATATAGTTTTACATAATGCAATAAAACTTAAAGCTGTTACAGACATATTTAATAGAACTTTGTTGAAATCATTTCTCATAAGGTAAAGCTCTATTATTTGACATATAACAAACATGAAAGCACTCGTGTGAAGAACTTTGAAAAACAATCGTATATATTTATTACGATGGTGTAATAATCCAAATGTTCGAAGACCATAAATGTTAGGACCTAAAAGCGGGTCATTAGGATCTTCAAAGTTTTTGAAAACTTCTAAAAATGTTTTAAAACTCATTTTTTTATTGCTGTTATTGGTGCTTGAATAGGATGTAGAACTAATAATGACAGAAATATCATAGAAAAAAAAACTATATAGCTTTTTAAGTGGTTATAATAAACGATTCAAACTATGAAAGGTATTATGCATGCACGGTTAAGTCTTCATGTTTTTTTAAAGTTCATAATACTAATATTATAAATGTGAAAGTTCTATTCTATTTCTTGTTTATGGCTCTCCCACAGCGAATTGGGCCAGTGTCAAATGTGAAAGTTTAGATGGATGGATGTTAGTTTGAGTAGCCTAAACTGCTGAACGAATCTTGATGAAATTTTGTATATATGTAGAGTAGTAGTAGGTAGTCTGAAACAAATGTAAGTAGCCTATGTCTTCCTAATTTTTTTTTAATTCCTCGAGGACCGTATCATGGGCGAGAGCTTTTTGTTTAAACGGAATTAATTAAAATATATCCAAAAAGAAAAACGATCAGTAATAAAAGTGTTCTTATGATCAATACATGGTTCACAAATCTATTTCAATTCCTTTGTTTTCATTATTATTTTCATGTCATATAGATAAGGTACAATAAATAGATGCAAATTTACAATAATTTTTATTTTTTTATAACGCATGATGCGGTCCAAACGAGTTACACTAAGGTGCAAATTGGCTCGTTTTTCTTTAAATCAATGGCATATAAAATTGCTCTTCTATACTTACCGGAGAAATTAATTTTCCTTGACCTATAATTTAATGAAATTTATAAAATTATAAAGCATTGCTTTGCAAAGATATGTTGCAGATAATTTCTATTGATTTTGAAGAATGGATAAAGTTCTAACTTATACATACATTAGTGGAAGTTTGAAAGTAGCACCAATGTTGGAGAAATTGAGAAGCATGTTATGCGACGAAACGATGGAGACATAAAGCAGAAAGTGTTAAGATTGAATGTGGATGGCTACAAAGGTAGAGGAAGACCGAAGAAAGTATGGATGGATTTTGTGAAAGAGGTTATGCTTAAGAAAGGAGTGGATTCAGATGACGGCTGACAGAGATGTATGGAAGAGCAGCACATACTGTGCCGATGCCTGACTTGTATAAGGGAAAGTGGATGATGAATTTCTATTGCATGTTTTTTATTTGCTGATTAACAGTGGAAGGATTTCCTTTTACAGAGAAGTAATTTATTTTAAGGACTTCTCGCCAATTTATAATTTAGGTTAATAATAATCTTAATAAATAGCAAGCAACTGCTAAAATGTGACATAGAATAAAGTATAAAAGCAGTAGCTTTCGCCCGCGACTCCGTCCGCGCGGAATTAAAAAAAAACAAAAGTGAGTTCCCTATGTGTTCTTCCAGACTGTCCCCTATATCTATACCAAATTTCATTGAAATCCGTTCCGCCGTTTAGACTACAAACTCTAACAAACATCCATCCATCTAAACTTTCGCATTTATAATATTAGTATGAGATCACCCATACTACGTAAAAATCGATTTCAATATTTTCTACACTATACTATCTACTGTAAGTTTTTAAGACAATCTACTTTCCAATTATTTTTAGGGTTTTAACGACTTTTCCCTGTTTTATTACTTTACTTTGCGATATTTCCTTACAAATAACAAAAACAGTTTTATGTTCTCTAATTTGTTTGGAGAATTTCTCATGAGTAAGAAACATAAAAATGTTCAATACAATTCGAAAACATCCCATAAATTTTCGAATAATAATCGTAAAACTGCAGTAAATAATGTTTACCTCGATCCTAGAAATGACATTTTTTTTGTATTCTATACTTGCCTGGTTATTTCCCATTGAGCCAGTCAGCGCACAGATCGATCGATCTTTGAGATTTTTTTCAAAATGGATCGATTTGCATAGAGTCGATCGGTTCAATGGGAAACACCCACTTGCGTTTTATCCAGCATCGTTTAAAGTAAACTTAATATTGTAATATCCCTTTAAACATTGACAGAAGAAATCAAATAGATATCTATACTTCTATACTATTATAATAAAGCGTAAACACACACTTCTTTGTTGCCTAAGATGTCAGCAATTACAGCATATTTTTGAATTATTATTTCTTTAATAAAAAGCCCTACACTTGCGTCACGCTTTAGGCTATATATTTTAACGCCATTAAACTTAGGGGGTAAATATTTTGGATAAAACCCTAATGTGGGAAAGAGACCATAAGTTGCTGCCAACATCAAGGAAGCAAGGTTGCCATGGTTTGTTGATAATTTGACAAAGGTAAACTATAAAATAAAATTTTCATAATTTCATGCGGATGAAGACGCACGGGAACAGCTAGTCTTAAATAAATAGCTTTTTAAAATTAAATTCTTGTTAATATAAAATCTTTTGACACGTGATGCCTTTGCCGTCTAGTTGTCTGTATATTTAACATTTTAAAGAAATTCTGTTAGAGACGTCAAATTATTATTATTAATTAATGCTATGTGTAGTGTTGTATATCTATTTGACCCGGTGGATAAAATTATTCTCAAGTAAACCGAGGCCTTCTTTGTGAGAGTCACACGATCCTTTAGGAACCGAAACTGGATATCGAAGTCTTAATATCATTTAATTCTAATGTCATTATTAATGCCTTATTAATGCCTGAGTATTCAAATTGAATAGATTTGAAATAATTGGAGACCCATTTCAGAATAATTCGGTAACTTTGTCATTTATCAAATAATTGCTACGTTTTCATGAATGGTACTCGCTCGTACAATATTAATTAGAATTCCAATTATCTTAAATCTTTTCCTCTTTGCCGTCAATCCATTAATATCTTTGAAAGTCATGAATTAAATTAAAATATTTAAAATTACTGTTGGTTTAATCATTTTTATATTTGCGTTACAAAACGAAGGGAAAGATACTAATGAAATTTTAGTAGTAGAACGAAAGAGTAAGTAATAAAAAAGACCTACTGTAAAATAAACAGTGAACAGACAAATTTAACAGTGGTAGAGCCCGCTTTAACATCTTCACACAAATGGGCCGGCTCGCCCGGTGTAATACCACGACCACATAGAAAACAGGCGTGAAGTAGGAGTTAATTGCGCGTTTCGTCTGATGAGTGTGGTGCCGGAGGCTTAATTTTAGTCCCTTTTCCTTTCCACTCTTTTCTTAAGAGCAAAGGATAGAAAGGAAAAGTGGATGTCACGGTAGAGGAGATGCATATGAAGGGGAAATATTCTCTTATGTGCGTCTCCTCCTCCGTCAATGAAGAGTAGGCAACGCATCTGCAATTGCGGATGTTTATGGGCAGCGGTCGCTTTCCACTTTGGTGGATACAGGTGGCCGTTTGCTCGTTTGCCACCTTATATTATAAAAAAAATACACTTTAATGTAACAAAATAACTACCTGAATAATTACAATTATTACAATATTGTACAATCATTGTCGTTTTGGTCGTTGTCGGTCAAAAGAAGGGGTATTTAGTTTTTTATATTGAAAACTAAAACCATCTTGTGGGATTCTTAAATTAGCAATAAGTCAGAGTTTCAAGACGAATTATGTGAAGATTCAAACAATTAATTGGATAAGGTAACTCCTAACAATGAAAGTCGAAACTTATGTTCACAACTTTCCGTAGACTGAATTTCAATTTGTTACGATTCGTTTCCTTTTACCATCCTTTATTGATCGACTTCCCAAAGGAAGTAGGTACTCCATTCGTTTGTTTGTGTTGTTGAAAAATGTTTTTTTATTATTATTTCATACATTTCAGCTTTCGCCCGCGTTTGTTTAATTAGTTTGCTTTTTTTTGTCTTTTTCTTACGTAATTATTTTACTTTTGGTAACTTTGTTGTTTAATTATCTGATTTAATTATATTTATCGGAACGTAATCAAATAATAATCTCAATTTTCAATTCTTTCTGTATAGAATGAAAAAACAAGAATTTGCCAATTTTAATTTACAAATGTTACTACTTAGTATGGCAAATTTTATTGTTAAATTTTCTAATAATAACATGTTTACAATACGAATCGTGTTACTCCAGAAAAAATTCATTTTGGTAAATATTTTGCTGTTTTTAATGTATCCAAAGATGGGTATGCAAAGATGGGTTTGGACAAACTAAAACCTACAAGTGATGTGGGTCTGATACATTGTTGAAATGTTTGTAGTTTGCTGCTTGAAAAATAGTATTATCTAAATTATATAGTAAAATAAGTATTCTACCTGAAAGAGTACGGTAATAATACGACAGTAACAAAACCTGAATAAATTTATTTTCAAGAGACTAAAAAAAGTACATATTAATTTAGAGTTTTAATTGTATATTTAATTTGTAAACTATTTTCAAACACGTAAGTCATTTAATCAGATTATCGCTTAATACTTTGAGTAAAACTATAATAAAAGTTTGTAATAAAATACAACACTATACTTTAGTTTTAATTTGTCTAATCTAATGCCTTTTGATATTCGTGTTCAATGTTGCATTAACATCTTTTTCCCAAACGATATTTTCAATCCAGTCAATGAAATGGGATACTTTTGAGAAAACGCTGGGTGTATTGGCCAGCGCGCATCCATAGCCAAATGACGTCACGCCCACTACATAATGCATACGCCATTCAAAATGTACATGTATCGGCATTTGAAATTTAATGTGTAATGGACCTCCGGAATCTCCCTGTAAGCAATATTTTTTTAATTCAATGATTTCCAATACATGGGACCAATCCGACAAACACCTGCCTAAGTAAGATATACTAAACAAAAATCAAAGAAACAATGTTTACCTATGATCTACAAATGAACAAAATACAAAGCGTCAAATCTTCAAGAGTTGTATCTAAGCAACTCATTTTGTAACAAACCTGTACAAGAACAAAATACAGGATGATAGAAAACTAAAAGAAGTTTAAAAATAGGCTACGAACATAACTGAATGTATACAATCACAACAAACCTGACAAGCATCAATTCCACCTGGGGTGTGGCCAGCACATATCTGGTGAGAAGCGAGGCCTTCCCTCCAATTCCTGTTGCGTCTGCTTTTCAATGTATCATTACATTCATCTGATGGCACCATATCCACTGCGGCTACTTGTAATATGGACGATGTTCGACGACTTGCTGAAAAAAAAACAAGAATTCCTTTGTAATTATCATCCTCTTGCTCGCACTCAATATTCATTTGTGTAATCAGTACATAAACATTTTATATTAGAGTCTTCTTCATGTTATCTTACCCGTATCAACTACTCCCCAACCGGCGACAATCGCTTTACCCGATATTTCACTGTCTTTGGTCCACAAACAAGCAGGATGGAAACTGCGAGTGAATATGACATCTTTATTCAATTCTATCAGAGCTATATCGTAGTATGTTTTAGGAGCATGATATTTATCATGAACGATAATTCTAGAAATCCGTACATCTTTTGGCGGAAAGCCATTTCTATCCTGAAATAATTAGAGAATTTATAGCAGTCTATTTTTTTTTTTTGATAGTTGGAAAGAAAGAGTAATCCCTTTCCTTATAAAAAGAAAAATGTAATTCGTTCGTTCGTCGTATTCATCTTTTTTCAAAACAAACTACTTCATAAAATTTCCATTATCATAATGCATCCTAAAATATTTGGCTAAATAACTATAATACTTACCCAGCCTAAAATATTAACAGCAAATCGAACCACTTTAGGTGAAACGTCAGCAACAGTAGTATCACGCGAAGACACTTTCGAGCAATGGGCAGCGGTGAGCACAAACTTTTCACTGATTAGGACTCCACCACATTTGAATATCCATGTCGTAGAGCCAGTACCTCGCCAACCGATAGCTGCCTATAACAATAAAAAATTAAGCGAATAACCTCATAAGATGTAGAATACACATACATGCTCTCAATGAGAAATGAATTTTAGGAAGCCTAATAATTTATGTCTTATTTTAATACTGTTTTATCTATTGTCTTGCTCGTTTATAATAAATGTAAACAATCACATGTCTGATCATTTTAAGACACAAAATGTGTGTGGATCCTGTATGATTTAAAACTTGAGCTCCCTCAAAATCGATCTGCTTTAGCTACCATAGGAACATATTGCCATGAGTCACGTGTGTTTCCATTAGTATTATAAAATGTGTCTTACCATATGAGGAATCTCTCCAACTTCAGCATTTTTACCTCCAATGACAATGGGCTCGATGATGAACCGATTAGGACCTGTATCATCTCTGTTTAAATTAACCGAAACAATTACACAAAAGATTTTCAAACCTTCATCCCTTGAGTGTTCATATTGGACAACTTACATGACGCGAACTCTCTCAGCCGTTCTTCGATATCGTATCGTATTCTCCAGATATGTTCCATGCATTCTAGGAATAACAAAATAACATTTGATAAAAACAGATTTTTAATATAAAATTATCTATCTGTACATATAATAAAATTGAAGTGTCTGTTTGTAAAATTACAAGAAAAATTCCAGATTTCGAGAAGATGATGTATTTGCGTTGCTGATAACGAAAATCGAGTTTATTTTTTTTGGTCTGTCTGGAGGCGCGTTTGTTCCAGGTAACCTGCAAAACGGCTGGGCCGATTTCGACCGGACCTTCACTGAAGGGTAGCTGACATAGACAAGCATTTTATAGGCTATTTTTTTATCTGCATATTTTAAGAAATAAAGCTGTATTTTCATTATGTTATGATTCCCTTTTCGCCTATCACTACAATTAGTTTAAATATAATTTATTTATGTGGTAGAAATTATTTCGATGTATTTTACTCTTTACTTACTAACTTCACTAATTCGACGTCCTTCTGCTCTGAAGTCTGGTGTGTGATATTGCAGAGGTTTGCAGTTATCGCTGTATTTATCCAGTAACGTATTAAATTCACCAGTTGTTGCGTTCCATAGCTTAGTACTTTGTTCTTCTATTAGAGGATCAATAAACTTAAAAAAATAACACAGAATAAAAACAAAAATGATTGCCATTCAATTTAATTCATCTGTTTTATATTTTAGATCACGGGTATCCATTTATTTTCATCTTAATATACTTATAATACGATAAAACGTAAACACACATTTTGTGGCGTAAGATCTCAGCAATTACAGCATATTTTTGATTTTTTTCTAATAAAAACGCCTTGGCTTACTTCACGCTTTAGGCTATATATTTTCACACTATTAAACTTAGGGGGTAAATAAATTGGATAAAATCGCTAATGTGGAAAAGAGACCATAAACTGCTGCCAACATCAAGGAAGCAAGGTTGCCTTGCTTTATCATCATGTCATGGCAATTTGACATTTGCAATTAAATTTGACAAATGTAAACAATAAAACATTTTTTTTTAATTTCATGCAAATGAAGTCGCACGGAAAAGTTATTGAGATAATGATAATGTCTTGTTCATCGATATTTTAAAATAAACAGGCCATATCCTATATCTGGTTCAACAAGCAGTGAAAGGACCAGATGCAAAGCTTTTTCTTAATTAGAAAACAGTCACTTACCTCCGCGTTAAGTGCTTCATTCTTTGTGATATCCTCACCAGTATTCCGAGAAACTATAATTATAGTAAAATTATCAAAATTACATACAAATCTTTTATTTACTTGTTTATTTTACGACAATAACGTAACGATCAAATTATAATAAGCAATACATTTGCTTTCTAACTTTAGAGTTTTCAAAGCAGTATTGCAATAATATTTATTACGATATATGGCATGAAATAGATCTATATTATATCAACGTTGCAACAGAAATAAGTTTATGAAAATCATTAAACTGCACAAAACTTACCTAAAACAAGAAGTGTTAAAACATATTCAAGTTTTTTACACCTTAAATTCATTTTGTATCTTAGTAAGATGAAACGCAATATTTATAATAAACCACAGCGGACGAGGTCGTGACTTTAAATGACAAGAAGGCACATCATACTTGCACTGATAATATTTGCAACACACAGTGTGCTATGAAATATTTAAATTCATTTTATTGACGGATACATAGACTTTGTCTGACAATAGATTAATAGGACTAGGCTTATCATCATCATCATCATCACCAGCTCACTATATGTCTCTACCGAGGGGCTCGGAGCTTACCCCAAGTAAGGGGTGACTAGGCCGTAGTCAACCACGCTGGCCAAGTGCGGGTTGGTTTATTTCACTTATATGTTTTGAATTTCTTCGCCGATATGTGTAGATTGCATCACGATGTTTTCCTTCACCGTAAAAATGTCGGGTATATTATGTACATATGAAAATTCGAAAAAATCGAAAATCACATTGGTACATGGCGGGATTCGAACCCAAGACCTGTAGATTACAAGTCAAGTGCTTAAACAACTGAGCCAACGACGCTCGCACTAGGCTTATAGTGTTAGCTAATTCTGTCTTATAAAGAACTTGTTTGTTAAGTTAATTGTATAATTCCAAGTATTAGATGAAAGAGGATCTTGATTCTTTACTTCATTATTCATTAAAACCATATAGAGTCTATCAATTTAATTTATTGCGTACCTTTAATCAACGGAGGAGGGGACGCTCACATACAGAATATTTCCCCTACAAATCCGTCCCCACTCCACCAAATCTACTTTCCTTTCCTATCTATATCTATACTATTATAATAAAGCGTAAACACACACTTCTTTATTGCCTAAGATGTCAGCAATTACAGCATATTTTTTAATAAAAGCCCTACACTTTAGGCTATATATTTTCACGCCATTAAACTGAGGTTGTAAATATTTCGGATAAAAACTCTAATGTGGGAAAGAGACTATAAGTTGCTGCCAACATCAAGAAAGCAAGATTACCAAGGTTTATCATGTCATGTCATTTTGACATTTGCAATTGATAATTTGAAAAATGCAAACAATAAAATAAAAGTTTCACAATTTCATGCGGATGAAGCCGCACGATAACAGTTAGTCATTTATAATTTTATAGCTATAATAGTAAGTAATATCTGTATCTACAACACCGGTTTTATCAATTCCGATAGCCTGGTTGAACCGGTCGAGTATCTGCAATACAGCGCGAATAGAGTAAAAAATTAAACCCATTTTAATAAATCACTATTCTGACAGCTGTTTAATATTCGCACATACATAACCGTTAAAAAGTATTTAGCAAAACATCCATCCAAACATTAGGACTGGCTGATAATAAAATAAACTTCGTTTGTATTATTATACAAACGAAGTTTATTTTCACATGGAATTATGAAAATTTTATTAATATATTAATAGCAAATGTCAAAATGACATGACATGACAAATCTTGACAATCTTGCTTCCTTGATGTTGGCAGCAACTTATGGTCTCTTTCCCACATTGAGGTTTTTATCCAACACATTTACCCCCTAAGTTTAATGGCGTTAAAATACATAGCCTAAAGCGTGACCTAAGTATAGGGCTTTTTAAAAAAAAGTGATCATTTTAAAATATGCTGTAAGTGCTGACATCTTAAGCAACAAAAAAGGGTGTGTTTACGCTTATATTAGTATAGATAATTAGATTTTGCTCTGTCAACTTTAAATTATGGACATAACCATGTTTTAAAAAATAAAACAAACGTATTAGTTTCATTCTTTTATATTTTCTAAAACGTTTCTGAAACATTTATAGTTCAAATTAAAATTTATTTCATACCATCTAAGATCACAATAAAATTACATCTAGTACCATATTTACAATAAATAAATGCTTAATTGTCTAATATGTACATCCTAGTCTCATCTAGAAATTAATAAATTCTATAAAGTATGTTCAGTGTTTTAACGAAAAAATACAACAAACATTTTATGACAACACCAAGATATATTAAATACTAAAAAACTTTATGGAATGACTCCAATGGTACCAACATTCAAATTATTACCTAACTCTAAATGACTTGAATTTTATAATAACAATTCTCTCATTGAATTATCAATTAAGCACAACACAGTGATTTAATTAAACTACTTATTCAATTAACATAGTAATATATAATTTAGATTTCACACGATTGAATCATTGGGTGTTTCAGCCTTGGACAACAACGGTACCCCGCTATAATCTTTCAAACATTCCGTACTCTTTTTAGAAGCGCTATCAAAGGAACTAGCTGTAGGGATTTTTGGTAGCCAATTATTATTGCCTATCTTATTCGATTTGTGATTTCCAATAGAATTCATTTGACAGTCCTTGAGTTTCACTTTGGGTTGGCCGCTCTGATTGACCGAATTGTGATTGAGAGTGCTAACGTTGAGTGCTATTGAATTAGGAGGGTTTAATTTGTCAGTGTCTGTAGAATGATCTTCAACTCCATTAGTTACAGCTTCCGTGGGATCGGACAGCTGTCTTTGCATTTTAATAACTTGTAGGAACGGTTGAACTTCTCTCTCTAATTTATGTACATCATTTGCCTTTTGCTGGAATATTCCTGAACCGCGTCTACTTGACGACCTCGACCCGTGGTCCATTCGTTGTTTGAACGGTGTCAAATGTGACAAGGAACCACTAACATTTGACTGTAATTGTAACTTCGCTATGTGAGGTTTTTCTTTAGGAGCATTAGGATCGATTGTTTCACCTAACAACCAATACGTGACTAGAACTCCTTTCCCCTGAAAAAAAGACATGATTATTGATTGGTAAAATGTGACAGTGCATTGCCAGATAGAAGAATAATACGGGAAGAATCCCTAATGTGTGCGTAAAGTAAAATTTAAATTAATAAAATTAATACCTTCATAGCAACTTCTCCTCTGCACTCTAGACGGAATGTACCGAAGCTGTCCAACAGAGCCTTAGTAGTGGGCGATACGTGTATCTTGAGAGCTTCACCGTTTGATTCCATTCGCGACGCCGTGTTCACTGTGTCGCCGAACAAGCAATATCGTGGCATTTTCAAACCAACTACTCCGGCGACGCAAGGACCTGGTTTAAAATAGCATTTCATGTAGTTCCTAATAGTGAATTAATAACAATAATAATTGCTACTTTGTTGGATTGCAGTTAGATTGTCGATCCAAACACACTAATATTTTAAATGCAAAATTTAGATGGATGGTTGTTTTATAGAGTTTGACGCCTAAACGATTGAACAGATTTCGATTAAATTTGGCATACACGTAGTGGATAGTCTGGAAGCACACATAGGCTACTCATTTTTTTTATTCCACGCGGATAGCCGCTGGCGAAAGCTAGTATCATAACAAAAATGTTGAAAGTTGCAATACAAGCTTACCAGAATGCAAGCCGATTCTAAGTTTGAGCTGATCATGTGGTCGATGTCTTATCCGGAAGCGTCTGACGGCGTCGAGCAATGCGAGCGCCATTCGCGCCACCTCGCGGGCGTGCCGGATTCCATTACGTTCCGGTAGACCGGACACAACCATGTACGCATCTCCTATTGTTTCCACCTTTAAACAAACAATTGTAATGAATGCTAAGAATTCGAAATTGACCATTTCTCTCTCATTTACTATCCTACTCAGTCCTACAGTTAAATACTTGCGTACTGTAGTCTGTATCTATTAATATGATCAGTCAAAGACTTCGTCAGTAAACGTAATAAAATTTCCACCGTTTTATACATTTTAAGATTTAAAACGTGCCATATCTCAAATCATTGAGGTATCTTTATTGTTAAAAATGTTTCAACCCAATCTTAACAAACAAGCTTGTTTAATGTTGAATATACTTATACATCTTTAGAATGTCAGATATATGTTGCGGCAAATAGTAAGAAATGTTAGTAACATGAGTAGGAAAGCTCCCTTTGAGTTTAATATTCGGCTAACATACTGTTGTCGTTCATCACAATATTGGCCTCGGTCCCGGCATTGTCATTGTCTTATTTAACTTTGAATATTAATGTTCTCTATTTCTAAAAAGTGGTTGTGTTATGTTGAATATATTATCTTTCATTTTTTACACACAAATGTTACATGCAGATATAATATCAATTTTAAAAGATTGTTATTGTTAATTTTTTTCCTAAACATATTTAAACCATTGGATAGATTACATGGAAACTATAATAGGATGTTCTGAGTATGTAAAAATGTATTTCATTTTTTATTTTTTCGGTAACTAACTGGATGTAGCGTCTTAAAGCGGGTGTACACCTTTGACTAAACTACACAACACACAAACACAACTGTTGTGCGATTGTCGATTGTTTGGCAGCCAAATCAACTGTTTAGTTGCACAACTAAAAATCGAGTAGTGTGCGAACCATATAAGCTAATAGGAATCAAAGTGGGACCAAACAGTTGTACTATAGTTTAGTTGCAGGTTTGCGACGCTCTTAGTTTGATAAATCTTAAGTATATAGAATTTCAAGAAGAGAGTTATCAAAAAGATTACTTTACCTTATAGACATCGTAGTTTTCAACAATCGAATCGAAGCACGTGTAAAGATCGTTAAGAAGATCGACAACTTGCATAGGCGTGGAGGAGGCAGATAACGCGGTGAATCCAACTATGTCCGAAAAGTATATGGTGACGCTCTCAAACGTTTCAGCGACTACTGATTGCCCATTTATGAGTTGCGAAGCCACTGACCTAGAAATAATGCTCACTCATAAAAAAGGGATTCCAACAACTCACGTTCTTCGTAATATCCTAATATGATTTTTTATATCCCCCTTGAGAATATTAGTTTTTGAAGCATCTTTTTATTGTAAGATATTCAATAACGAGACAATGAAAAAGTTTGAAATATTTAAAAGGAATTACGTCAAAAATTCAATCGGTTACAACCTCATGTTATAAAACATAAACATTGCTCATAAAGTATTGGAAGTTTAAAATATTATTTTCTGCACATTAGTATAATTTATTTCCATTAAACAATTTACTTACTTAGGTAATAATTGATAAAGAAGTTCCTCGCATTTCTTCTTCTCTTCTAAATAATCTTGAGTTCTTTCACTAACTAATGCTTCTAAATTATTGGCATATTGCTCCATACGTGATAATAAATTATCTAAAATATTACTACTTTCTTGAGACCTGTAAAAGAATTAGAATATTAAAATCATATTCAGAAAATAAAAGCGATAAAACGAGTCAAAAGAAAATGTCGGATAAGGGTAGGCAACGCATCTGCGATCGCGGATGTCTATGGGCAGCGGAGGCTTAGCCATTTTGGCGGATTCAGGTGGCCGCTTGCTCGTTTGCCACCTTATGTTATAAAAAAAATGTACCGCTGATCTGGTCGCTTAATAAAAATGGATTATTTTTTTTCAGAATCGTTTAAACCCACGAGTCATTCATCTTTTCAATTGAAGTTGTTTTTTTAAGCAGAAAAGCATTAAGTATACATATATGTAAATTCTAAGATCGGGCGCACACCTTTGACTGTTGTGCGATTGTCAATTGTTTGGCAGCTAATTTAACCGTTTAGTTGCACATTTAAATTCGAGCAGTGTGCGCACCTTCATATAAGCCGATAGGAATCAAGCTTGACAAAACAGTTGTGCGATTTATTCAAAGGTGTGCGCGTATTCTAATTTATAAACAAAATATTTCCATATATAATAAACATGCATTTTAGGTTAAATTATATGTTAGAAATACAGAAAGAGGTTAGTCTGTGGTATGTACATAAACATTACTTATTGAGCCGTCGAATCGCCCCCTTTAAATGCCCGAAGTCGGGTCTCTCAGTGGGGTCTTCCGCCCAACATCGTCGCATCAGTTCTGTCGCCTCGTCCGCTTCGAACGACCGATGATGGGTCGTGTTTGGACGAATACCACTGGCGACCACAGTCTCTATGATCTCTGTGAATAGATTTGTTATTCAATAAAATGAAGAAATCTTGTAATTTAGAAGTTACATTGTTTTGTTCTCTAGTGTTAAGAACCCAACTTTTTTGGCGTTTTATTGCTCTACTACATAGTGATTTAATACCACACTAAGGCGGAAACTTAAATATTATTAAAGGAATTTGAATGTGGTTGTTAAGAATTTAGGTTATTCGTAAATTAAAATATTACGTAATCTTCTCAGAGCCACAATATCACCAGCTGGGCTTCCATGCCATCTAAAGTTACAAACTAACTAATTACGTAACACAATGCTGTCTTAACCACTAACATCAGTGGATACATTACTTATAGTAACTCAAAGTAAAGCTAGAAATACGAGTAAGTTATTGCCAAATTAACTTAACACAACGACAGAGGAATTTAACTTATTTTCGCATAATAATGGCTTATGTATTCATAACCTCACCTTTGGGGGCCATGTCAATGCCCGGTCCTAGCCAGAATGCTCCCTGTCTGTTAACTATCTCATGCATAATAATGCCAAAGGAATACACGTCTCCTTTTTGTGTCCCCTCGGGCGGAGGTTCCGACATCCTGAGCAATTCCGGAGAGGTCCATAATAAACCTAATAAAAACACATATTACTAGTTATTGCTCGCGAATTCTCCACGTGAAATTTATAAATTTAACCTAAGTTACTCGGCAATAATATAGCTTTTTAATGGTGAAAGAATTATTGAATTCGATCCAGTAGTTTTTGAGTTACTACATACAAAAATACAAATCTTTCCTCTTTATAATATGAGTATAGATTAATTTGAATCCATTCCATCATCAGATTGTCATCTGTTGTTAAACTATAGACTGTGATACTTGAATATTCTTAATTTTTTTCCATGTATTACTTTTTTGTATAATTTCTTTATTTTGTCGTGACTAAATTCACTCGAAAATCAATTACCAATCAATAATGTATTAACTACTTGTAAAATTCAGAATTACAAGTGATATAAAACTAAATAATTTTCCATAAAAATCCATACTAATATAATAAAGCGTAAACACATACTTTTTTGTTGCCTAAGATGTCAGCAATTACAGCATACTTTCGAATAACTATTTTTTTTTAATAAAAAGCCCTACACTTACGTTACGATTTTGGCTATATATTTTCACGCCATTAAACTTAGAGGTAAATATTTTGGATAAGAAACCTAATGTGGGAAAGAGACCATAAGTTGTTGCCAACATCAAGGAATCAAGGTTGCCATGGTTTGACATCATGTAATGTCATTTTGATATTTGCAATTGATAATTTGACTAAATGTAAACAAAAAAATGATTTTTTTATAATTTTATGCGGATGAAGTCGCATGGTAACAGCTAGTTATCAATAAAATGAGAGTTAATAAAGTCACTTACGGGTCCAATAACTGTGAGCCTTGAAATCTTTCTCCGCAGTTCTTAGAGCGTGAAGACCGAAGTCAGTTATTTTCAAAACGAATCGAGAATCAACAACGCAGTTGCTCGATTTCAAAGCGCCGTGAGATCTTATATCGGAGCCGTGGAGATAGTGCATACCCTGCAAGTGAAATAATAAATAAGAAAAAGATGATTTTATCACATTTAGATGTTTAAAAAATGGAATCATTTTTGTAAAGTACAAGTCAATACTTCATTTCATTTTCAATTTAATAATATTTGTAGAAATATTGATAAGATTTACTTTGTTACTCTTTATGAACAGGAAGCAATAAATTGTTCGTACTAGTTTTGATAAGGAAATACAAGATAAAACGTCAATCGATCGTAAACATTGTACACGCACCCGAACAATATCGTGCATTAAGCTGACTTTGAACATCCAATCAAGTTTTATTGTGTCGTTTTCCAAAATATCCTGCAACGATCCTTTCGGACAATACTCTGTGAGGAGGCAGCAATGTGGTGGATCCACGCAGGCGCCGTAGAACCTCGCTAAATGGTCGTGCTCCAAATCCTTCATCTTCTTAAGTTCAAGTAACAGTGGTCTTGTGAGATCGATTCGTTGTTTATCGACGTTCTTTATTGCGACTCTGCACCCTTTGTAAAAGCCACAAGGGGCGTAAACTTGTCTATCACCCGCCAGTGACGTCGCCTCGTCGGAATACGCCGTCTGAAACATTGAATTAATTAGTTTAAATTTACTCGAAATTGGAACGTAATTAAATTCTTGGTGCTATTAATACTTTCATTGAAACGTTAATTCAAATAATTTTAATTTAAACAATAAGCGTTTGTCTTTTGTTTTGAAATCTTCATTTGTTTTTAGAGACCTTATTTTAATGATTTTTTGACCGACTTCCCAAAAGAAGGAGGTATTCAATTCGTCGGTATATTTTTTATTTTTTTTTTATTTTTTTTTTATGTGTGTTACGGCATAA